GTGCATACAAATTACCATATTTCAATTTATTTTATCACATTTATTTAAGAGAGAGAGAGAGAGAGAGAGAGAGAGAGAGAGAGATTCTAAAGTGGTAAACTATTTATCAACTAGCACAATTACAATCTAAATATTTAATTATAAATCTTATAATAAAACATGATTTAGTACTAAAAATTATAAATAAAAATAATTTTTAATTAATTTAAAAAGTTTTTTATTCCAAAGTTTTATTTTAAAAGTTATTGTGGTAAGTATATATATAAAGGTAAGTTATTGTGAGTTTTTCGATAATAATTGACTTAAATTTTTACTACGAGATGGCGGATTGATTTAGCATTGTACATGTATTTAACATTACATTTACTGTTTATCACTATTTATTTGCATTCGCACATGTTCATATGATAACAACAACTTTTGATATTAACAACTATTACATCACAAAATATTCATATTTTTATCTAGAAAATATAAAAGGTTTTAATTTTTACCAAGTTAATTGTAATTATTTAATTATAATCTTTACAATACGGTATGTATTAATAATAATAATTATCACGTTTTACATAAATGCCCGGAAAAGTCAATACAAATCGTATTGTAAACGCATTATATGTTATGTTTGTATAATAATAATAACATTTATTTATTTATAACAATAATTATTGCTATTACTAAATTGTCATTAATTATTACTAATACTAATTGTTTCTTCATTATTAGTGTCAAAAACAATTAACATTAAAATATTGGCCGAAACAATCACTTCAGGCACTGATAACGAGATACCTATGAATGCAATGCCTGACCGTAACAGACAATCGCCGGACACTAACAGTATGAATGAGACCACTAGTAGTGACGGATCTACTGATAGGATTGACAACACATTACCGGCGATTCCGCCACCACTGTCTGCCGGACACATCCAGCAAAACAATGAGCTGACAATTGTTGGCCCAAACCCAGTGCCGTCGACGTCGACGGCGGGATCAGAGGTCACGTGGCGCGGGACTGGGGCTGACTCTGTGTTTAACCCGACTCCCAGTGAATCGCTGGGACTGGATGTCCAGTGCCCGCCATTCACGTACACCGATATGGTATTTACCAAATTAACCATACTCTTTTGCGTGTGCGATTCTATTGGCGATGTTGTGCTGGCTGGCTATCATTTGTTCAAAGGAAACTATTGGTAAATTGGGTTTTGTATTTAATTTGTCTTAGGCATTATATTTATTAAAAGCAATTATACCGTATTGTCTGATTTGACTTTCTGTAAAACACAGGTACAGCGGTCTGACGGTGGCGTTCGTACTGTTGCCCACTCTGGTTATGGCCAAAATTCTTAGTAACATGTAATATAAAATTTTAATAATTTAGTTTTAAAAAGTACATAATTTCATATTTAATATTTTATCTAATTCGTAGACCTTTAGTTATGACAATATTTACCGGGCGCTTTTTGAACCATGAGGGTAACCGCAGCTGGGGATACAACACGGTGCATCCCACCACTTGGCAACGCTATACTCGTAATCTATTGACAGTGTATCGCTATATGGATATATTAAGACAGGGACAGTTAGTGCGAGAACAATCTGGATCAAGTCCGAGAGATTGCAACGAAGTGGTGGACAAAAAGCGAGAGATGGCTCGTTTGAGAGTAATTGATACCTTTATGGAATCGGCGCCTCAACTCGTGCTCCAGCTTTATATTGTGGCTAAGACTAGCAAACAGTTTTTAAACTACTCTGGAGTTTTTACTTTTTTAATCTGGATATTCAAAGGTATATAATAATATGTCTGTTTGTCAAATTGTACATAGTACTGATTATGATTTGCATTGATTATATACAGGGATTTTAATGTTGGTAGCATTTTTGACCCTATCGTTGTCATTATTCACGTACGACCGCACACTTAGGGATCTCATTGGGTTAGCAACAAGTGATATACAGCAACGCTATGACTCATTCATACTTCAGGTAATTTATTTTTTAAAAATCAATAATTAATTAATCGCAAATTATTTTTAAATAGGGTTTTCTCGTAAAACTTATCTGGCGCCTTTTCACGATAGCGGCCCGTGTTTTAGCGCTTGCCCTATTCGCCAGCGTTTTCTCAATTCACCTTGTTGTCTTTCTCATTGTGCATTATATAATAATGTTTGCATGGGTGAATTACGCCACAAAAGATATGAAGTACCCTACTATGTTATACACTTTTAATGGTGTACCATGCCCTACTGTTCCACCTTTTGGTCAAAGAGAATATGCCTGTTTAGCCTATGTGCTCACATTTTGTTACCATAATCCGGTTGATAAACGATTTATACCTATGTTGGGTGGACAGAGATTTTATTATCACACCATGATGTTTGTCGGCAATTATATTTTAATGCACTTTTGGTACACACATTGTCCGGACACCCAGTGGTATAAAGAGTACGCCTGGTATACACATTATGTCTGCTTTTTTCTGGGCGTCGCTATTATGGTAAGTTAATTGTGCGCGAGTAGTGTAAAGTAGTATTTTATATGAAATTTAATAAACTTTTCAATTGTAGTTTGGCCATTGGTATTATTACCTTCATATGCGTCTTAGTTTTGCTGGTACATTCAATCGGTTCCCAAAACGTCCTAAAGTCCAATAATTAGCGCACGGGTCAACTCAGTCTATGTGGACGTGTGTTTGTGAGAGCACATCTATGACAATATCGGGTTTTAATTGTATTAGTTTAATTAGTTATTTATAATAATTAATATGCTCAATACATTATATCAGGGAATTGTTATATTTATATAATTACAAATATTAGTTTAATTACATTTCATCATTGTCTAATATTACGGCTACCAATTGAGCTTATTTAATGTTTGAGCTTAATTTTTTATATTTTTATTAATTTTTATACAATTAATTACATATTGAAAAAATCCAATTTTGTAATTCATTAAAACTGTAATTATTTGTTTGCTAAAAACATTATTTTTATAATAATCAATGAATAAATCAATTTATACAATGACTGCTTATTTTTTATTTGATGTTTGATTTTAATTTATTGTGTTTATTTTTGTTACATCAAATTACCACATTCTAATTTATTTTAAATTTAGAGAGAGAGAGAGAGAGAGAGAGAGAGAGAGATGTAAAGAATTTTGTACAATAAATATGATATATTGGACGGGACTTTAAAATATGTGGGAATCTTGAGTTATCACTTGATAAAATTTTATATCTAACTCATCTCTCTCTCTCTCTCTCTCTCTCTCTCTCTCTCTCTCTCTGTATTGACTAACGACTTGAATACCCTATAAAAACTGGTCATTCACTGCGGGAATCATATATCAAATACTCGAACACAACAAAAGGCAAATGAAAAATATTTTTCACAGACGATAAACAAATTATACGCTTAACTATCATTATTATGGACTATAAAGTTCTCTCACTTCTCAATATCTTATGACTAAAGAGTGAACATATATGTAGTAATAAGCCCAAAAATATGTAATATAATATGTGGTAATAACTCGAAAAATATGTAATTATATGTGATAATAAAATCACCAAAATTTTTGATATTTTGATATAAAAATGGTTAAAATATTGTATTATGCACAAATTATGATGGAACACAAATAATTCACGATTTATACTGTTTTCCTGGTAATATTCATTAAAAATATTCAGATTTACTTATAGATGCCTACTCTAAAATTTGTCATCTGTACTTCGTTTAATTTAGTTTATTTGAGCTAGTAATGATTTTTATAGAAAGATATGTTTGAATTATGAAAAAATAAAATATTTAGACTTTTTGCAATAAATATCATTTTTGAATCAATTATTTTACAAAATTATTGAAAACATCATACAATTTTCATATAATTTGCCGATTTTTCTCAAATATGTAAAAATATGTGCTAACATTCAAAATATGTAATTATATGTAGTTATGTAATAACAAATAGGTCTCAAAATTCTCCTTATTATATGATTCGGATAGATCTTTAAGTTAGAGTTTGATATCTCTTACTGCAAAAATATGTAAAAATATGTAAAGTTCACTCTTTGCTTATGACTCATAAGTTATGAGTTATAACTTAAAGATCAAACTAATTGTATGATTAATGTCATAGTAAACGAGACGCGTATATAAATACTTCGCAAACAACGGGTGGAAACAAAAAGCAAAAATAAAATTAATGTTATACATAATGGCGGCTATAATATACACATTATTACTATACTTGTAATAACAAGAATTACAGAATATTCCAATAGAGAGTTACAGAATATTCTGTGCGATTACTTACAGGTATTTCGTAGTGTTTTCGGTATATGAGAAAGGGTACGGATATAATGAACGACACAATCCATATGCACGTGATAACAGTGCCGGTGCGCTGTTTGGTCACCCGTGACCTCAACGGGTAGAATATGGCCACAAACCGGTCGCACGATATGGCCGACAGTGTCAACACCGATGAAGTCAGACATGTCACTGAAAACGGGAGATAAAATAAGCATGATAAATGTATAAATATATATTTTTGTTTGCACAGAATATTCTGGGTATAAAAGTAAGATTTTTATGGGGAAATTTATTGATATATATTATATTTGTTTTTTAACACTCAATTCCCTTATCGTTAGAAAATTTGAAATTTATTTTATTTGTTTTGTTTCAGCAATTTTTAAAAAGTTCAAAATACAAAACACATTATTTATAAACTTATTTTTGGCTTTCATTTTGTGTTATCAATAAAATGAAACTTTTTTTGGATCATTTTTTCACGTGTTTTTCATGTGAAATACAATTTATCGACTCAAACGTCCATTTATAGTGAACAGCCTATTAGTCTCTCTCTCTCTCTCTCTCTCTCTCTCTCTCTCTCTCTTGAGAGAGAGAGAGAGAGAGAGAATAAATACTTATAACTTATAACATTGTACAATACTTACAAAACTTAATTCCTATGGATATCCAATGCCAGGTCTGTCTGACCCTAATGTATATATGCATAACACTTGGATTCAAGTGAGTTATATTTGGGTTACTTTTATTTTTATTGCTTCTTACATTATGGTAAGACTCAATATATAAACACAATAGATTTATAGCGAGAATAGTTGAGTGTTGCTTTATAGTTGAGTATTACTTTGATGAAAAGGCCCTGACTTAATTTAGCTAAGCTAGAGCCTTTTGTGTTTATTATACAATACGGTTAAAAAAATTTTGATTTCAAGGAGATATTAAATGTGAGAATGTGATTATAAGAAATGTGAGAATAATAGACGCAAATAATCGACTAAATAATTATATGCCATAAATTTACTCTATAATGCATTTTTATTAGTCTTGTAATAATAGGCTATAATATTATTGTAATTTATTTTATGAGTTATAACTTATAACAATGTTTAGTGTAATTGTGTGCTAAATAGTAATTAATAATCGATTTATAAAATACAGAATATTCTGTAAAATATGTTAAGATAATTAAAAATATATATTTTGTAATGAAAAATGTTTTACATTTATGTTTTATAATCCCTATCAGTCATTCAAAAAATTATGAATTGTAAAAATTGTAATATGTAAGATTATAATGTGTATTCTGTATGTTTAATTGTGTTTAAGATTTAATAACCAATTGTAAGTAATAATGACCATAGTGATAGAAATATGATAATTCATGTGCAATTTATATTGTGTATACGGCATATTATGCATTAGTATTATGTTTCATATAAATTACAACATTTTTGCTATTATTTATAAGTTTATTCACCAATAAATAATAGTAAAATGTTTTAAACTTTTATAAAATTTATAAATACTTTTATATGAATTGACAAAACCTTTAAAAATAATTGTCTAAAAAAGTATATTTTGTTAATAAAACAAGACATTGTTACAAATGCATTTTAACATAGATTTATATTTATACCAATTTTTCTAAATACAAACCAAATTTTTTATAGAATTGTTTTATTAAAAACATTTTTAATACATAACTATGGCTTCAATGAAACAAATATTTGTTTCTGATATATAATTTAGACTTTATTTGCTTAGGATTTCATATAAAATCTGTATTCAATAGCACTCAATACAAAAGACTCGCAAATAATATAAAATTTATATTTGAAATGGAGATCAGAATTCATTTTGTAATAAAATACTTTCTCTCTCTCTCTCTCTCTCTCTCTTTCTCTCATTTTTTATTTCATTTTATTGAATACAGATTTTATATGAAATCCTAAGCAAATACAGTTTAAATTATATATCAAAAACAAAAATTTGTTTCATTGAAGCCATAGTTATGTCTTAAAAATATTTTTAATAAAACAATTCTATAAAAAAAATTTAGTTTGTATTTAGAAAAATGGTATAAAAAGAGATCTATGTTAAAATGCGTTTATAATAATGTCTTGTTTTATTAACAAAATTTTGTTTTTCAGACAATTCTTTTTAACGGTTTCGTCAATTCATATAAAAGTATTTATAAATTTTATAAAAGTTTAAAACATTTTACTATTCTTTATTGTTGAATAAAATTACAAATAATTGCAAAAATTTTGTAAATTATATGAAACATAATATCAATACTAATGCATAATATACACAATATAAATTAGTCTCCCAAAAACAAGACGTGAATCCTGTAAATTCCTGTCCCGTCCCATTCCTGTACAGGATTGGGACGGGACAGGAAAATATTTGACGTATGCTTACAGGAATGGGAAGGGACAGGAATGGATAGCTTCAGGACAGGACGGGACAGGAATGGGTTTAAGACAGGAAAATGCAATAAAATATTTTTTTAAAATTAATTTCAGTATTTGCAAGCACTGTATGATATGGTATATGTAGAATACAAAGGGTTCCGACTGTACGGCGCCTACGAGAGGGTATGTGACTAACAATAAAGCCTTGTTTTAGCCAAACGATAGGCGCTAATGAATATTGGAAGCCTTTATATATGCCGACAGGATTTACAGGAAATTACAGGACAGGACGGGACGGGACGGGACGGGACAGGAAAATATTTTAACATTTAGTACAGGATTGGGACGGGACAGGAATAGATGTCTTTAGGACAGTACGGGACAGGAATGAGTTTTAACTGCCATTTGGGACACTAATATAAATTACACATTAACTATCATATTTCTATCACTTTGGTCATTATTACTTATAATTGATTATTAAATCTTAAACACAATTAAACACACAGAATATACATTATAATATTACATATTACAATTCATGACTGCTTGAATGACTGATAGAGATTATAATACATAAATGTAAAACATTTTTTATTACAAAAAACATATTTTTAATTATTCTAAACATATTTTACAGAATATTCTGTATTTTGTAAATCGATTATTAATTACTATTTAGCACACAATTACACTAAACATTGTTATAAGTTATAACTCATAGAATAAATTACAATAATATTATAGCCTATTATTACAAGACTAGTAAAAATGCATGATGGAGTAAATTTATGGCATATAATTATTTAGTCGATTATTTGCGTCTATTATTCTCACATTTCTTATACATTTAATATCTCCTTGAAATCAAACATTTTTTTAACCGTATTGTATAATAAACACAAAAGGCTCTAGCTTAGCTAAATTAAGTCAGGGCCTTTTCATAAATGTAATAATTCACTATAAAGCAACACTCAACTATTCTCACTATAAATCTATTGTGTTTATATATTGAGTCTTACCATAATGTAAGAAGCAATAAAAATAAAAGTAACCCAAATATAACTTACTTGAATCCAAGTGTTATGCATATATACATTAGGGTCAGACAGACCTGGCATTGGATATCCACAGGAATTAAGTTTTGTAAGTACTGTACAATGTTATATAAGTTATGGGTATTTATTCTCTCTCTCTCTCTCTCTCTCTCTCTCTCTCTCTCTCTCTCGATAGTAAATATAGTATAAT